GAAGCATGGACAACATCAGAAAGACTAATCAAATTGTCAAATGTCAAATCCATAAGAATACAAGTTCACAGCACCATAATTAAAAGATAATAATTTATCTCGACTAATGGAAGCAGATAATAATGTACCGGCCACTCTTCTACACAAGGAGCAATTTCTTCCACTTATTATATCCCTTAATCATTATACTTTGAGTTCATTTCTTTTCTTCTCTATTTATTTTCTTTAACAATTATTTTTATTTGATTAAAATAGATTGTAAATAAATAAATATATTGTTTCACAAACCATTAGGGCAATTACTATTTTCTCGCGACAACGTGCCCACTCCGTTGAATTGATTTCGTCCAAATTAATCACGCTTGTTATTTTAATATTTTTCCTTTTAATTTGTTTAATTTTTTTTTCTGATTTTCAAAATAATTTTTTTACATTTGTATGTTTTTTTATTTTATTTTATTTAGCGTATTTTTGTATCTTCTCTTCGATATGTCTATTCCATTTGGTCTTGATCTTGACAACCTTCCTTCTTTCTTTAATGCTGCGGATGAACCTGTGCCTGATACTAAAGTCAATCTATCAGATGATTTCAATTTCAAGCAATCTACTAACACCCTTGTTGAAAATAAACGAAAGTTTGTCTTTTTATACTCTACTTTGATTTAGGGCTGAAGAGTCCCTGAAAGGATATATTAACGATTACATGCTGACTAGTCCCAAAATTCCAAAGTCTTCTAAAGATGATACTATTCCTGAGTTCGAGGCTCCCTGTATTAAAATCCACAAAGTGCAGACTTCGGGCGATTGCACTCATGAGGTTTTTCCTTAACCTTACTTAATCCTTTAGGTTGCTGTACCTCCATTTCTTGAGTATACTGAGCTAACTCCTTCGAGTAGGCCACCTGCAAAAGTCTTTGAGTTTAAGTTGGATACATTCCAGCAACAGGCAATTCTTTGTATTGACAATAATCAATCTGTTATGGTTTCTGCCCACACTTCCGCTGGGAAAACTCTTGTCGCTGAGTAAGTTGAGAGCATTTCTTTTTCAATATTTGCTGACGACTGATTAAATATTACGATTTTTAGGTATGCAATCGCCAGCGCCCTTCGAGAACGACAACGAGTGATATTTACAACACCAATTAAGGCTCTTTCGAATCAAAAGTTCCGCGAATTTTCAGAACAGTTTATGGAAGTAGGATTGTTGACGGGGGACGCTACTATCAATCCAAATGCGAGTGTGCTTATTATGACCACAGAAATACTTCAATCGATGCTATACAGAGGTTCCTCCATAGTTCGTGAGGTTGGCTGGGTCATTTTTGATGAAATCCATTACATGAGGGATTTGGAAAGAGGCGTTGTTTGGGAAGAAGCTATTGTACTATTGCCTGATTGTATAAAACTTGTTTTTCTGAGTGCAACTATTCGAAATGCTCGTCAATTTGCTGAATGGACTGCCCACCTTCATAAACAGCCATGCCATGTTGTGACCTCTGATCGAAGACCCGTTCCCTTATGCCACTATCTATATCCAAGAGGAGGGCAAGGGCTTTTTCTTATAATAGAGCAGGTACGTTGGTAGCCTTTCTTTATACTTTCAATCAAGTTAGATCTATTGTTCTTTGCTCATCTTTGTATTCCATCTTCTAAATGCTTTCGGTTTTTTAATCGACATCCATTACGCAGGAAAAGTTGATCGGAAGGAATTCGTGATATAATCTTACCAGAAACCGAAGGAGGATTGCCGCGTAGGGAAAAAGACTTCCACTCACCGTCCTGCGACCCCGATGAACTTGTGCCAAGCTTTCGTCTGTACTGTGACAGACATCCTCAGAGCATAAATCCATACTCTACGAAATAGAGCAAACATATACTAAACTAAGAGAACAATTGATTGGCTGCAACCCTAATAGCTTATTTACACACCTAACTTCGCGATATTAATGAAGTCTCCCATAATTTGCTTGGCTACCTCAACCTTACTCTACATGCTTGCAGATGAGTGAAGTTACTTCACGATCTAGAAGTTTTTTCGGTGGCAGCTGTTTCTATACACAAATAAACTAGTGTACGATCCTCTAATGTTGATTCATCTTTGGGCTTGTGCTATTACCTGCTGTGAGCATGTAATGTCATGAGAAGTGTGGTTATTCTAGATAAACACGAGGCTGATCAAGCCTTCTTCTTTTGTTCAGTGGCTCTCACTCCTTAAGCCTATTCGACTGCCACGAATAGTTCCTACTCAGTTTTATGCACTTGTTTCTCCTATTTATTCTTCTAAATGCCATTTAATTTCTTATCGGCCCTAGTATTTTATTTTTTAGGGTAAGTTTCATGAAGATAACTTCATGCATGCAATGCGTTCCTTCTCAGCAGATGAGATCGGTGCTTCTTTATCACGAAAAGGTTGGTTATTTTAAACGAAAAATGTAAGTGAATGTTGAAATATAAATTTCTATTGCTTTTCAGGTGCTGAAAATAGCGTGGTTCAGATTGTGCAACTCGTAAAGCATCGCAGCTTAGAACCAGTAATCGTGTTCAGTTTTAGTAAAAAAGAATGCGAAATTTACGCTCTTCAATTAGCCCAAATATCTTTTTTAACCGGTATGTATATCCTTACTTAGATTACTTCATTAGGTCTAACGTGCTTGTGTTATTATGAATAGCCTAATTCTTATCGGGGCCTACCCAGTTGTTCTTTATACATACTGCTGTTGTTTGTTATCGTTTTTTAAATGAGTTTATTTTTCTCTCTGATATCCATTTATTAACCACTTTAAATATTGAATAATAATCTTTTGTCTGTTTGTAAATACTCACAAGAAACTTTAGCATTTTTATTGTTCTTAAACAATTTATCTCAGCTGTGCCAAAATTCCAGATCGTTCAATTAGCTTTTATCCCCTTCACTATTACGCGTTCATGTCTGCCGCATAAACTCTTTCGAGTCTATAATTTTTCAAACTCTGAAATTTTAGTGTAACGTGTGCTTTAAAAAAATTTGTATGGGCAATCTAAACTACCTCAACTACATATTGATAGAATATCATCATGTCTTCTGATTTTGCTTTTTATTCATTAAAATGCCAAGTACTATTTTTTTATCGAAGGTATGAAGACCAAGATGGTGTGGCCTTTTATGTGGTCGCAGTCTCCTTTCGTTGTATATAAGTTGCTTGGCCTTTCGCAACTTGGTCATATTGGTAGGAAGACTTATAGGAACGCATCTAGTCCGGAGTCCATTGTATGCATCATTATTTCCAGAGTAGGACCGTGGA